GGAAATTTTGGAAACAGCGATTTCAAACGTACCTGCTAGCGACAGAAATCTCGAAAAAAGAAGAAATTACCCAATGTGCTCAGCTATTAACGTTAATCGGCGACGAAGGTATGCGTATATTCAATACTTTCACTATGCTGCCAGATGAAAAGGATAAAATAAATCCATTACTTGCGAAGTTCGAGAGTCACTTCAGTCCCAGAAATAATTTAACTTACCAAAGACATAAATTTCTAACATGTAAACAGCAAGAAGGAGAATCCATTGAACAATATGTAACAGAATTGAAAAATTTAGCTAATTCTTGTGAACTGGGACTCTTACGAGACTCCTTAACAAGGGACATTCTTATATGTGGACTTAAGTCAGAAACACTTAGGGAGAAGCTACTTCAAGAAGATAATCAGCCTCTAGAGGAAGCAATTAGGCTATGCATCAATATGGAGAAAACAAGGGAACGAAATCGAGAAATTACCACCAATAATAGAGAGAATATACAAGTAGAGGAGATAACGAGGAACTTCAGACCCAAGTATAAGGATAAAAGGGGAATTCCAAGAAAATATGAGGCATCCAGAAGCAACTATCCAAGCAAATATACTACAAGTTACAGCAAGACCAATGAAAGAAGCTGCCGGAAGTGTGGAAACTGTCATGGTTATGGAAAATGCCCAGCCCATGGACGACAATGTTCCAAATGTGGAAACATGAATCACTTTTCTGGAATGTGTAAATTCAAAAATGGCAGTAACAATTCAAATTATAATAAAAATAAAGTAACTTTTAAAAATATTAATACTCTAGAGAATGAATATGAAGATAGTAATGATGACATGCAACCTTTTGTAAACTCCATAGAAAATAGTTTAAATGAAACTAATGATTTTCTCTTTATAGGTAGCATTGAAACGGGGACAGTTTGCAACGTTGAGATGGAGTCATGGGTTGCTGCAGTAGAAATAAATGGTCAGAAGGTAGAAATGAAGCTGGATAGTGGAGCCATAGCCAATGTCATGCCTGTAAGTGTATTTCAAAAAATAAAACTTGATTTCAACAATTTAAATCAAAGTACCATGAAGCTGAGGTCATATACAGGAGATCTTTTGCCAATAATTGGAGAATGCAATTTAGAATGCAGATATAATAATTATACTGGAAAATTCTTATTTCACATTGTTGATATGAATAGTTGTTGCATTTTAGGCCTTCAAGCTTGTGTTAAACTAGGTATGATTCGAAGAATAGATAATGTTCAAGAAGTAGAAAACTTCTCTGTTGAAAATATCCAGTATTTAATAAATAAATATGAACATCTATTCAAAGGAATAGGGTGTCTGGAAAAACCATACCATATTGAATTAAAAGAAAATGCAAAACCTATAATAAACTATGCTAGAAAAGTACCATTTGCAGTTGAAGATAAATTCAAAGAAAGTTTGAATGAACTTCAGAAAGAAAAAATAATTGTTAAAGATGATAACAGTGCGGATTGGGTAAATCCAGTTGTTTTGGTCATGAAACCTGATAAAAAATCAATTAGAATTTGTTTAGATCCCAAATTTCTGAACCAGGCTATTAAAAGACACTACTTTCAAATTCCAACTATAGAAGACTTGACAAGCAAATTAACAGGTTCAAAAATATTCAGCACATTAGATGCAACACAAGGATTTTTGCAGATCAAGTTGGATTTTCAAAGCTCTAAACTTTGCACTTTTGCAACCCCATTTGGAAGATACCGATTTTTAAGGTTACCTTATGGTCTGATCAGTTCATCTGAAGTATTCCAAGAGCGTATGACTGAAATCTTTGGTGACATAGAAGGTTGCAGTGTTTACATAGATGATATAATAGTGTATTCAAAAACTGTAAAAGAACATGGGAAATTGTTAGAACTAATTTTTAAAAGAGCAGAACAATTCAACATTAGATTCAACAAAAATAAATGCAAATTTGGTTTAAAAGAAGTCAGATATATGGGTCACAAAATATCTGAAAAAGGTTTAACAGTTGATGATTCAAAAATAGAGGCCATAAAAAATATGCCCCCTCCAAAAAACTTGAATGATTTGCAAAAATTCCTTGGACTAGTAAATTATGTAGGTAAATTTGTAAAAAATCTTTCAGAAAAGACATCAACATTAAGAATATTATTGAAAAAAGGAGTTGAATTCATTTGGGACAAAGATCAAATAGAAACTTTCAATAATTTGAAAAAGTTGATATGTCAAACACCATGCTTAAGATTTTTTGATCCAAATGAAGAAATCACGATCTCTGTAGACGCATCTCAGAACGGGATGGGTGCATCACTTTTTCAAAATGGCATACCTTGTGCTCATGCATCTAGGGCTCTAACAGAAGCGCAAAAAAGAGATGCACAGTGTGAAAAAGAACTATTAGCCATATGGTTTGGATGCGTGAAATACCATCAGTATGTATTTGCAAAAAAGTTCATAGTTGAAAGCGACCACAAACCATTAATATCAATAATCAAAAAGCCAATCAATGATTGTCCTGCTCGCTTGCAAAGAATGTTAATTCAACTTAGAAAATATGAATTTGAGTTAGTATATAAACCAGGAAAACATTTGATTGTGGCTGACACATTATCCAGAATATATGAAAAGAAATGCTTTGAAGAAAATATCGATCTGGAACTAGATGCTCAAATATGCTTAATTGCAAATAACTTGAATGTAACACAAGAAAAAAGAAATCAAATAATAAACTTCACAAAACTAGATCCAGATTTGATAACGCTAAAAAATCAAGTTATTAAAGGATGGCCAAACAAAATACAAGACGTGCCAGATAACATCAAATTCTATTATAGATTCAGATCTGAAATTACAATTGCAGATGATCTCTTGTATAGGGGCACTAAGCTCATAGTACCACAAGCTATAAGAAAAGAAATATTACAAAAACTCCATATAGGCCATTCAGGCATTAATAAATGTATAAGCACTGCCAACAGTTCATTTTACTGGCCTTTCATGAACAAACAAATTCAGGACATGATACTGACTTGTGAAAACTGTCAACAGTTTAGAAAAACCAATTGTGCGGAACCTATGATTCCTCATGACGTTGTAAAGCTGCCTTGGTTCAAGGTTGCTTCTGATATATTTCATTTCGATGGCCAATCATTTCTAATAGTAGTAGATTATTATTCGAAGTTTTTTGAAATTTCAAACCTGAATAAGGATCTGACAAGCGAAAATGTAATTTTAAAGCTTAAATCAATATTTGCTAGACAAGGAATTCCTAGAATTCTAATAACAGATAATGGACCAGAATATAGTAGTTTACTATTCAAAAAATTTACTAAGAAATGGGAATTTGAACACAAAACGTCATCTCCAAGATATCCTCAGTCCAACGGGGAAGTAGAAAGAACTATTCAAACAATAAAAGCAACTTTAAAAAAATGCAAAGCTAGCAACTCCGATCCTTATTTAGCATTACTAGCATTACGTAACACACCTTTGACTTATGGACATAATTCGCCAGCTAATATTTTAAGTAATAGAAACTTGAGAGATTTGTTACCAAAAAGTCAATCTAATTATGAACCAACACTTTTCAATAAAGTGAAACACGACGAACTGATTAAAAAATCAAAATCTAAACAAAAAGGTTATTTTGACAAAAGAGGTGTAAAAACTTTGCCTGACATAGAAATTGACTCAAATGTACTAATTCAAGAGACATTGAAAAGTCCTTGGAAAAAAGGGATAGTATTAAGTAAAGTAGGGATAAGATCTTATGAAATAAAACTGGAAAATGGTTCAATAATAATAAGAAATAGAAGATTTATAACACCATACAAACGAGATATTATTAAACCATCTTGCAAGAATTTAGAAGTAAGAGAGTATGATTGTAATAGTTCTAAAAATTATGTATACTTGAATGTAGAAAGTGAGAATGATCATCAGAATCTAAATGATAATCAAAATATGAATGTGGAAGATTCTGATAATGCTGACAGCAGTTTTCAAAGTATAAAGTATGATAATTCAGAGCGTAATACAGATTATGCATCAGAAAATCACACAGATTCAAATTCACAAAATAATTCCACTCTTAGCACTGAAGCAGTACAGAGGAAGAAAACATATCAGAATGTTTCAATAATACAGTAACTAGAACTACAAAGTCAGGCAGAATTGTTAGAAATCCGAAAAAATTTCAAAATTTTTACACTTTCAAGTAGAGGTAAACAGTAGACATTAAATGAAGCTAGACACAATCCATAAGAGGGGAAAGAGCTAGGGATATAGGATTAGGATGCTGGATAAGATAACTATGTATGTGATTTAAATGTAAAATGTCCATCGTCATATTATCAATAAACTATGTAATAATTTCAATAAGTAAAATGTACAACATCAAAATATTATGTAAAAATTGTATTATACAAACAATGATGTAAACATGAAAGGGGGAGATGTGACATATTATGTACACCTACACTAGGTTACACTAACCATGCACTAGCACCGATATGTATTGTTCTGTGCCTGGTGCTCTGACTTCCGTGATCTGTGATAAAGATGATTAATAAACCAGTTATCATCCAGCAGTCTTTGAATTCAGACGTCCCGTCTCCAACACTCTCCCAAGTCCACACCACAATTTCGACTAATTATGAATAGTTTCGACACAAACAATCCCTGAACTTGGGAAATCTCGATTTTTCACAATCCATATCTCAGCAATTATTACTGCTAGACCCCAAGTACGATGGGTCGTAGAAATCAGCTCTTCAGAGAGAATCTCAAAATAGAATAATATATAGGGTGTTCCATTAAAAAAAGTATACCTTCAGTGGATTGCTTTTCTTTTGGAACACCCTGTATGTTTCAAAATGATTTCAAATGGTAGCCTATGTTGACATGCAACGTCTTAGAGAGGAAGATGAAGATGAGTGGTTAGCCTTCTAGAGAGCGAGGCGTTACTGGTGGCCCACCCTGATATATTTGGTGTTTTAGATGAAGGAAATGAACTATATTATGACATCATTAACGAAAAATTCTCTCGTTATTATTGATGAATTGGGGCGATCTACTGCATTAGAAGAAGGAACTGCCCTAGCTATTGCAATTCTCGAAAAATTGGCGAATTCCTCGGCTTATATATACATTGCTACTCATTTTACACTACTAACTCGCCTTTATGATATGTATCCTTATGTCAAAATGTAAGTTATTTCTTTTTTCTATAATATGAATAATAATATTCAATCATGTTTTTTTTTAGTTGGCAATTAGAAACTATTCCAAAGGATCAACATTCTGTAAGAAGTCAGTTGGATTACAAGTACAATGTATTACCAGGTGTTACTTCTATTAAACATTATGGTGTGACTCTTGTAAGAGATATATGGCCAAATGATATTTTGGAGTATGTTGATTGTCTCATGAGAAAAATTTCAAAGGAACATGTAATGGTAGCTGTGTAGTTTAGGTATCAACTTCATAGTCGCATTTTTCAGGATCGAAATGTTCTGGTCATCGATGAGAAGTCTCGTTTGAAATATAGTGTTGAGGCTATGTTTCGAAAACTCAAACTGAAAAATGAATTGACCATTTCCAAAATCAATGAAATAATCACTCAATATCAAGTGGAATTGAAACAACTGGGATATGTTTTGAATATCAATTCACTGGAATCCAATCCACGAGAAAATTTGCCTTTGGTTGATGATAATTCAGTTAACAATTTAGAAACATATCCGAATCCAGCATTGGATAGATTTTTGGACGATTCAAATTCATTTTGTCACAACCAAAACAATTCGTACCAATACATGAGCCACTGTGGAAACAAAAATGTTCGACAAAACTTTATTGAATCTGATGTTTTCAAAAAGCCTGCTCCACCCAAGAACACTATCAAGTCAATCCACTCACAAGTTGAATCTATTCATAATGGCAATTATGAAGAGCTACTTTCGCCGAGTTTTCAGCTAACACCTAGTGTAGTGTTGTCTAATGATATGGATGACCACCAATTTTCTATGTCTTTCTGCAACGACCTATCAAAAACTTCAACCCCTGTTAATTTCTTCGATAACATTTGTCACTATTCCTCATCATCTAATGCCAGTCAAGAACCGAGTTTCAGTGTGCAGAATGATGCCATTGACGTTTATAATGATTCAAGACATCATAATGTTGAGAATTTTCAAGCAGACCTTCACTCTGAAAATGTATCTAGCAATTATCTTTATGAAATTGATAATCTACGTGAGGAGGATGAAGTATCAGTAGATGATTATATTCATCGCAATCATTATGAACATTATATTTCTCCCACAGTTAAAATCATACAAGGATTGGATAATAAAAGTTCGTCTTGGGAAGACCAATCTGAAAATGAATTTTCAAATCCAAATTGCATCTCTGAAAGTAAAATTAATATTATATCGGATATCAAGATTCTCTCTGGACATGAAACTGTGGAATCTAAAGAGCCCCAAAATAATTATGAAGATAATGATGTTTCAAAAGTTCTATCTCATTCAGAATTGGATAAATCATATTCCGTAATTACAGGTGCTAGTAAAGATCCGAATGTGTCTTTAGAAAAATCTTTTCAAACGTTGCCTAGAAAGATAGTTCGGTCCCCAGTCGAGCGAATCATCAGTCAGACACATTCTGGGACTCCAAAAGTTGAGAATATGAATACTTCACTAGAAAAATCTGCTCAGACGGCGTCTGAACAAATCGTTCGGTCACCAATTGATAAAATTACCAGTCAAACATATTCGTGTAATGAAAATGATCATGAAGGGGCTGATAATATAAAACATGGAATTTCAGAAATTGGGGATGAGTCACAGAAACATATGGCTTTGTCTCCTAGTTTTGTAGGGTATGAAGGAATCGCTGTTAACAGAGAAAATGTTCTGAACATATCGGATGCATCTACATGGAAAATAAATGCACCTCCAGATAGTGAAAATCTGCCGAATTCCTTGGATTCAACTTTATCATTAGATAATGGACATATGGTACTGCCGGCAAATAAGGAATATGACAACCAAAAATGTATATTACGCAGTGGTAGAATTCGAGCGAACGACTCTATCAGATCAAGTACATCAATAATAATGAATGATAATCCTAACTGTACAGATTTCGAAAAAGGAAAAACTATTCGAAGAGGCTACAATACGGAACGCGACTCAAACGTATCATATTCAAGCTTGAATGACACTAATGATTCTTGTGCACACGAAAGTTACCACGTGAAGGGATTAGTTCCATCGCATGAATTTAATGTATCTGAAACAAGCGTGTTTCGAAGTCCTCTTAATAGTATTAATAAAATGAATGAAGAAAATAAGATTAAAAACTTTACATTCAAGAAGAAGAAACAGTTTGTAAGTACTGCGATATTCAATAATTATCTTTATCCTTCAAGTCAACATAGTAGTCAGAGTAACCATGACATGAAGGAGCATAGCAATAATTCACAACTAATGTCAGATTCAAATTCATCAAAAATGATGACAATGGACGAAAATGTTACTTACTCAAATGTATTTAATGACCTAATTCAATATGAACCTAATAGACCGCAGAACTATTCTCTTGGGGAATTCAGAGAGAATTCAGGCGGAAGTGCCAAAACAAGAAACGTATTAAACACAACAAAGATGGATGAAGACGATAACAAAAATACCACATATTCCAGTACATCAAAAGATCTGCAATATATGCCTATTATCCCGAAAAACGGTTCTACCATAACCGAAACTAATGCAGTAGATATAAGAAATGGTGATGAAACAACAAGCATGTCAGTTGCATCTAAGATGAGAAAATTAGGAGAAGACGTCACATATTCTAGTTCATCTAATTATTTGGATAAGATTTCATCTGCAGAGAAAAGTAGATCTCTTGATAATGAAAATAGCCAAATCTACGAAAGAAACAAACTTGAAACAAGTGTATCATATGCTTCAGAGCTAAGAACATTGGACGAAGGTGTCACATACTCTAGTGCATTTGCTGAGAAAAGTAGTTCAGTCGATAATAAAGATGACCAGATCCTCAAATCGAGCATAGATAATGCAACAGCTCTGAATGTAGATGAAAACAACACAGACATTAGCGCGTCCGATGATCAATCTAACAATAAACATTCATCTAGCTTGACAAGCCTGTCAAGTGCTTCCAAGAAAAGGAACTTGGATAATGTCTCAAGTTCTGCTATCACAAAAAGTGCTGCTAGTACTGAACATATCAAGGTTTCAAACAATATTGAAGACAAGTCCAGCAGAAACTGTACGAGACTTGAGCTCGGAATGGCTAAACATACTAAATTGGCAAGGAAGAGGTTTATTCCACCAAGAACACTTAGTGCGAAAGAAATCACAACAGAATTGGAAGAACAAGGTAGAAAAATATTGGAATCTAGCCAAAACTCTTCTAATATGAAATACTGGAAGCACATTGTCAATCGACCAACAGTAAAACAGATTCGAAACTCTACCCAACTTGCGTTAGTGAGAAAAACAAATGATGGTGTCGAAATATTTCCGACAAATCACAATACTAAAAAACCTAGAAAAAAAACTCCAATGAAAAGGCATTTCTCAAACGAGAATTTTGATATGTCGATTTTCAGTGACAAAAATGCCAAAACTTTTGAAGAATATTTGAATTCTGGTGAAAGGGACTATAATACTTTCCGATCCAGAATCAACCAATGTGTGGAAGAAAATTCATCTTCAAATTTCAATCAATTCGGATATTCATTGAATTTAGTGAGAGACCCTAACGAAGACAATTTTGTACTGTCAGGCAGTACTGCTACGCCATTTTACTCGAGTCAGTCAAGTGCTATTTCATTCTCAAGACCTCAGAGTTATCCAGATCAGAATACAAGTTTCAATATAGCTACTTTCAATGCAACCATACAAAATAACAAGGTTGCTTCTAATACTGAACAAATTGATTTTACATCTCTTACGCCAAACGGATTTTACAAGCAAAATAAAGAACATATAAATACTATCATGAATAAATATCTTCAAAATCAGTCAATTTCAAGTCAGTGTGAAAATAATGTTACCTTAAATAGTAGAGATAGAAGAAACATATTTGAGAACACTAATTTGAACATCGAAGATCTATCTATTTGATTCAGTGGTTTAAAAAATTATGTTGATACTTATAATGACATCGATGTTTTAGTTATCATAGTTAAGAGTTGATTATATTTGTGTTATATATTAAAACTAAAACAATTTTAGCGATATGTTTATGTATTCTTTGCTTTTGATAACTTAAAACCCATGTTTTTCGGGTTACTGGTGCGGTTTTAGAAGCAATTAATCTATCACGTAAGGGACATAAATTCCCAGTCTGGTTTTTCCATGACTTAATCAATGAAATTAAAAAGAAAAATCGTATCCATACTCTGATTAACCCGGCGTCGCCCAGGTGGGGTCTCAGATAACCAGAAAAATTTTGAATCACTGGCATTTCAATTTGAATACGCGCACGTTTCTTTGGTTATCTATAGCATCCCAAAACACTTCATTCTGAAATATTCTGGAGATAAATGTTGATTCTCGTGTGAAAATTTATCAATTTTTGTTTTTTTCATATACTATAGCTACATGCTACTTTTCCAGCTGATAACTTCAACATTTTAATAATTGGTTTTGCATGAAATGTAACTTGCTGAATACAATGAACTTCGTAAAAGTATTGAAATTCAAACTAAAATTGAACACAGCCAGTACAAGAATGAGATTGAGTATAATATATAGATGCTGATCCACAAAGTTTCTGGAAATTTTTCACGTCTAAAAGCACATGAAATCAGCTCTTCAGGTAGAATCTTAAAGTGGAATAGTATACAGGGTGTCCCATTTAACAAATCATAGTTGTTGCTACTTTTCAATATAAGCGGCAACGTTGCAGCGCTTAGAATACTTTAGGTCGATAGAGCACATCTAATTATCCAAGGCATCAAATTTTCAGAATAATCCCAAGTTACGTTCTCCAAAAACATCTAATGTGCCTTCCACCGTGAATCAGCCTGTATATCAGATGCCTTTCAATAGTAGTATAAGGTAGTATTCTGAATCATTCCTACCTATATTATTTGTTAAATCATGAGTGACATGAATCATATCATGCAAGACTGGTAATTATGGTGAATTACACCAAACAAAAAATCATTTTCGTGATTGATAAAAAAAAACAATGATTAGAACAACATCGAGAATATATATTATGTATACATAGCAAAACCACGTATCTGTGAAAAATCTGAAAGCAAAATGAATTATCTGCCATACACAATAAAAATCTGAATTTTTCCCTAAATATCGATGGAAATTGAGTATTTGATTCATTTACAATTCATAATCGGAATTCTGGAATTTCAATATATTTTCTCCATATTCTATAAATTTTTATTGCTCTCCTGTAAAATTTGCTAATAACACTAACATCTGTAAGACGTCGTGGAAACATCCATATGGGATGATAGGAACATCTCTGGAAAATCCCTATTTTCCTTGGGACTTTCTTGGTATGTTGCTGGCAACACCCGTGTCAGCATTTGCGATGTCTTATAAACATCCCATCAGAATGTTTGTGGGATGATACGGGATGTACCAGAGACATACAGGGTACTTGATATGGAACATCTTAAAGAAACTTTTATATAGGATGTTTTTTGTTTGATGACAGTAAAATGGATGACACGGTATGAATTATTTTCAATCTGAAATCCTGAAAATGGCCGACCTATTTCCAGATATCAAGTAACAATCCGAATCCGAAAATATAAGGTCGGTGCGGTCCAATAACTAATGGAAGATGATAACAGTTGTTTGAGGCTCATATTTGTTGGCGCTGGGCCGACGGCTGTTAGTAACTCTTAGCAACGTAGTTGTACCGCCATCTATCGGCTGGTATAACAAATAAATTCAGCAATAAATATGCTGAAGAGATATATTTTGATTTTGTCGTTTATTACATGGTTCATGAAGTTAAGCAGGTACTTTGGTAATCCTATTGAGGAATATTTAGTATGATTATTTCAATTTGTTATCGATGAAATTAGCCGGCTTTGGTATAGGTATAAGTATATATGTACGAATACAGTTTTGATTTCCATTTTTTATCAACTTTTCAATGTTTCAAATGTCACAATTGTTTGAACTGTTCAATCATGTCAATCATCATTAGCAGATATGGAACCATGATATTGTTTATAAAAAAAGATCAAATGGAATGTTTCTGGAACATCCAATGAAAACATCTGATGGATGTCCCAAGAGAAACATCTCTGGGATATCGTACCTAAGTCTGAAACATTGGGACATTTGTAGGACCTTAGCGGGATGTACCAGCAAGATCCCGTGTTGTTAGGGAAGTCAGCAGATACGTGCTTTTGCCAAATCACCAACAATGTGCTGAAATAGTGACTCCATTTGGTACCCTGCGGTTTGGCTACCACTAGACTAATTACCTATACCTAGGTATAGGTAGCTATTCTCCTATATTTCCCAACCACAAAATTAAATTTCGCTTACAATTCTCTTATCATAAAAGTAGCCATCGAAATTACACAGGAGGTCTGATGTGTAGGTAATATAATATGATGAAGTGTGATGGTAATATAGCGCGCTTGTCTTATATACTAGAGTCACTGGATGGTATTAGTTTGATAATAGTTTGGACACAAAAATGACAACGGTCAGGGTTTTTGAATGTTTAGATTTATTAAGTTACACAACTTGCATTGTGTCATAATTATACTTTCGAGAAACTAGCAGCTATATGGAAATCACTTGCTGTGTAATACATTGTGCCTGAGGAAGTATTCCCAATAACAACATATATAATCTCCAGAATTTCAAAAAAAATTCCAATATCTATCTCCTATCCCTATCCTCCCTAGGAACGCACGATGTTCTTTGAACATTATAGGGATTCCCTTTCGTGCGCTCCAAGCGATAAAAAAATATATGAAACGGCCTGGGTGAATAATCAATTTGAAGACGAGCGAAATTTGTGAGGTAGGTACTAATTGGAATTCACTTCTTATATAACAGCATCTGATTAGAATGAAACTATATTTTAGGCCCAGTTTCAAACAGAAGATTTCAAAATCTGTTTGAGAGAATCTGCTGTTCCATCAATTTACTAAGCAGACGATTTCAAGAACAAAATTCCATTATTATATCATCACACAAAATACAAAACAAAATAATCATGGAAAGAGGAAATGATCGTCAAATTACCTACATTATAAAATTGAAAATTTGAAAACAAAACTAAGAAAAGCAAGGAAACTACAACGTGATATATTATTGAATGGCGTTTTTGGTGCCGATGAAATTCAAAATTCTACAGTGAAAAGTGAATAGTTATTTATGTATCAAGGGATTTATCATAAGGGCCTTAATTACACTGGAGGTTATCGTTTTGGAGATATTTTCTAAATCGATCCATGTTACTTTTAGCTCCTAGGGCGCTAAGTGAAGTTGCTAAGAACTTTACAAAAGCAAGTATTTGGTAGGTCTCGTCTGAATAAACTACTTCTTTCCTATGAAATGTTTATCGAAAAATGATTTGTTCTCTGTATTTCAACACCTGTATCTCCGTAAGTCGTTAAAATCTATGCCGAAATGAAGCATTTCCGGACACAAGCTTATATAGACTTCATTTCTTGAAATTGTCTCAGGAATACTTCACTTGAACGTACTTATGTTACTTCCTGTATATTGAGAATACCTACTTCAATACCTTCAATTTAATATTAATAACTTCATGTTTTAATACTTATCACTGGAGTACAGTTTGACATTGTATGCATACAATAAGGAATTATAGCTATAAGTTTATCATATGTGTATATTTTCTTATTTTAAAATGTTTTTACATGCATTCCTTTATTCATTTATATAACAGTTGTTCTGCTAGAAGTGTGTGTTTGTACCCTCTATATCCATTGTCCATCTACGGCCTAGGGAAATTGCAAAGACAAAGAGCAAAATATATGTCTTATTCTTTTATTCACTTAAACCATTGTACAAAAGTTCAGCTGTGTCCGAACTCTTATCAAACTAATACCATCCAGTGAATACAATATACCATAGAAAGGGCCGATGTTTAGACGACGTAGTGAAATGGCATCACGACTTGATACTACTGGTCCAGTGCTGGCTGAATAATAAATAAACGATGACAATACATACCATACATAAGGCCGAAGTCGCGACAGAAGACTGCTAGAAGATTTGATGTTTGCTATCTCAGAGGACGCCCGCTTATATGGATAAGGAAATACCTATAATGTTCAAAGAACATCGTGCGTTCCTATAGGGAGGATAGGTACAGGAGGTAGGTATTGGAATTTTTTTAACTTCTGGAGATTATATGTTGTTGGGAATACTTCCTCAGGCAATGAATTCCAGAGCCTAGCCGTTCGATCTATGGATGAAGGAGTTTTGATAAAGTGCTGTTCGACATCTTTCGAGGTTGACAATGTAATCTAAAATGGGCAAATAATGGGCCTTGGTTTGAAAAAAAAGTGGACGCTGCTTAGCTCCAAAATACACCTTCCTAACCTCCTCATCCTCATTTCAAGATAAATATCGTCGAAATAATCGCTCCATAAATACAAAATGTATGAGGGTGGCTAGCTTTCAACCAGTGGCGGATCTACGATTTCTGGAATCGCATAAGATTAATGATTTCTGGGGCACCTGGCGGTCCCTTCTCTCATTCCTCTTTCAGATTTTTTTTTACCATCAATGTTCCAATTAATGATACTAGCTGTTATTTCTTCCCAGATACTTAGAAACAAAAATAAAACTGAACATTCATTGATAAAAATATATATGATATAAACTGATATGTAGGTATTTAATATGAAATAACACGAACTGCAATGCGAACCATAATAATATATTCAATAAGACTGCCTTTACATTCATATACATATGTATACCAAGCTGTTATAGGTACGGCCATAGCAAGTTCGGACATCGTTCCGTGATAAGAACACCAAAACATAAACACCTCTCGTCTCGCTCTCATAGACATATAGATCTTAAACAACAACAAAAATAATAAAAAACAAATAGAAAATGAACACATAAAATAAAATCAAAGTAACTCTATAACATTGACTAGGATATCAGATACATACAAAGTGAAAGTTAAGTGAATACAGGAGCTTTAACGATGAGTAAGTGAATTACTAGGAGAAACATATATTTTTTTCTGGTTTTCAAATCTGCGAATTCTCATATTGCATCATCAAAATTCAGACTATTTGTTGAATCACTCGATCGTACTTCCAAATATTGAAATATTTTCTCCGTTATGACAGTTCTTAATTTGCTTTTAATTATTGTTAATTTTGAAAATGAACGCTCTGCTTCACAACTGGTCACTGGTAGTGTTGAAAAAACTTTAAAGCAGGTTCATCGATATACGCACATTCTCATCAGTTTATTGAAACATCAAAAGTCCAATTAACAACTAATAATTTATTGAACTTGTTTTTTTATTGATAGAATTGATACCAGAATCAAAGCAAACAGAATTAGTTCATATGCTAGTTATTCACAAAGTGAAAAAGTGAAGTGAAGAACAAAATTCCCATTTTGCATAATTGTGAATTATTATTATCTTGGTTTTGTTTTAGATGTGCTATGAATTTATGGGATATTTTAGAAATGGATTTTTTTTCTTTTTTTACTTTGTAAATTACTATAGCATATGAACTATATATATCTGATGTTTGCTTCAATTCTGGTTTCAGTTCTTTCATTAAAAAACCAAGTTTACTAAATTAGTAATCGGAATTTTGATGTTTTAATAACTGATGAGAATGTGTATATGGATAAAAATGGCCAACCTATAATTTTCGAGGTTCAATAATTCAAAAATGGTTATACGAATATCAATATGGATGTTGGCATAAAAGATTTTCGTGTTTCGATTTTACACCAAATGGCCTAAAAATATATGGAGTGTTTCATTTGAAAAACTCGAGAAAAATCACTTCCGAAAGTTCCGAATTGCCACCCTGTATAATTTGAGGGCATGAACATTCTACAGAAATATCACACATGTTTCCTTCAAAAGATATTATAATAATCATTCTCTCTTGAATTTCATAATTGTGACTACAGTGATTTTTTCGGTATCCATCTGCAGATGACATTATTTCGACAAAAAAATTAATAACTTTGAAATTATCGAGATATAGGAAGTGATAACACCATTCGACTTTTTATACAACTATGATATTTATTTCATCAATTCCATGATGAAACTTTCGAGTAGCTTTATAGCTCATTGGCCTGTCATAAGATGAACAACTTTAATACATCTGACTGCCAAAGGCGGTGGCTCGTGTTCAACTCCCTGCGAGGACTCAATTTTCAACCTGGGAAAGGGACGTTTCTCAAAGAACTGGTGCAATGTGCAATGTTGCCGCCATATTTCTCAGAGGTGAAACTCAGATGAGGAATAATGTATTTTTGTCATTTCGTTTATGTGGGAGACAATGATGCAATGCCAGTGCCCTTGTCGGGACCCTAAGCTTCAGTATACTAAGCGTACCGGTGAATCCGCCGCTGCTTTCAATGGACCACTATAATAATACACGAGGATTGCACGAGGTATAATTATTATGATTACCAGATTGGCTCTCTTTCTAGCTATGTTTGTATGGATTTATTTCTCTTTTCAATAAGATTTAAAAGATAATTCTGCCGCTGATTGGAGTATTGCGATCATTGATTCTACGGTTCTACATATAATTTTAAATTTGTACTGATGTACATCTGAGCTACTTTTGTAATCGTGTCATGAAGTAGTTCAAAAATCACTGTGGATATAATACGATAAGAACTTAGAACTCACGGCGGCAATTTTCGACAGATGACAATTGACGTTAGCTGAGTGAAGTTTAGGATGAGGAAGGGGTGATTTTGTTCAATTTGTTTACACTTTTTTGATAAAATAAGTATATTTTCAATCTAAAGAGGTTTTTCAAAGTTATTTCGAATGCAAATGGTAATTTGAAATGTATACCCCAACTGCATTTTTTCACGATCTCTTAACTGGCATGGAAATTAAAAGCGAGTTCAATGGATGCAGTGATGACTCTTTTCATGAAGATCATCTAAGGAAATCCATCAACAAGACTGGAGAAACAACAGTATGAATAGTATTGGAATGGTTTTATTTATTTCATTGTACATTTTCTCACAATTTCAGACTGAACCTGAAACCACCTTGGACATGAAGAAAGTGAAACAGCAAACATGCCATGTTTGTGGAAAAATCCTTTCTTCTGCAGCTAGTTACTATGTCCATTTGAAACAGCATTCAAATAATAAACCTTACAAATGTAGTATGTGTCAGGTTGCATTTTGTAGAAAACCATACTTGGAGGTTGGTAAAAATAGGAAGTAATGGATTTATTTTGTTTCATAACACATTGGTTTTTAGGTGCATATGAGAACACACACAGGAGAGAAACCTTTTGAATGTGAGATTTGCAACAAACGCTTCACTCAAAAGTCTAGTCTCAATACCCATAAAAGAAACCACACAGGACTGAGACCATTTGTTTGTGAAATATGTTTCAAACGCTTCTCCATTAAATCTTATCTAGTTGCCCATCAGTATAGTCATGTTGCATCTAATGGTGTTTCATGTAAAGTTTGCCAAATGAGTTTCAATAATAGAAGTGAATATATACGTCACATAGAATCTCATAAAAGTAAAGAATTCCAATGTAAATATTGCCCTCGATTTTTCTCAAAAGAATCATATTTGATAAGGCATATGAATAGGGTTCATTGTAAGAGGAATTCTGAAGAAAGGTATTGAATGAAACTTCTCTATTATTTAGTACTTTTCTCAGTACAAATTTTGTTTGTTGATCAACATTATGAAGAACCATGACACAACTGAATTATTGAAGTTCTGGTAGGAGAATGAGAAACCTATATATATATTATGCATATTATGCTTTTTGATGTATAAAAAGTAATGTGTTTGATTTGCTTCCAATGCTTGTGGCCAACATTCAGTTTTCATCATTATTATTATTAATATAACAATGATAATGGATAAGAAGTCTTTTAAAATCAGGAGAGAAGAATACTCTAATACTCCAATAACTCTCAGTCTAATTCCCAGTGTCATAAACTAAGATTTTTTTTTAGAATCTCCATTAGTATTTGTAACAGAACCAAATAGGTGTGATGGCTAGGCAACACTTTTAACTTTCTTTAGATACCTTCTCTTAACATTGATAACAGTATATGTATAATAGGTTGAACAAAATTAGCTTCTGGAAACCCCTAACATACCTGACTGACAAAAAACTGCCCAAGCCATAGCACTGCTATGTAATTATTCAATTTTGAAAATCAAAAAGCAGATTGAATTACTCATCAGATACTATGAACCCTGATCATTATTTCTTCAAATTCAAGATAATGTTAGCAGAACCCTGATCATTATTTCTTCAAATTCAAGGTAATGTCAGCAATTGTCCACTTTTTTCTCAAAATGTCCACAATGATGTTAAAAAGTTACATTCTGGACAAAAATAGTTGAAATAAAAAATATGCTCAGTTGACATGAAATGAATATTTTCAGAAAAAGTTGGGATGCATCAATGAATGTGACAGTAAATGTTACTGGAATGAAATATTCATATTCACTTTATTTATACTGCTAAATCAACTGGCCATGGCCCAATTACAGACAGACAGTTCCTATATTGGTTCCTATCCTACAGTAAACTACACTACACAAAAATGAAAAGAAAAAATACTGATCACAGAAAGATTACAATATACTCAAGTTTTGGGGAAAGTAGTTGAGTGAATATATAAAATCAAGACATTCATAACAGATTTTTAAAAAGATTAATAGATGTACTAGCCTATATCTGGATTTTTGAGAATATTAAGGAAATAGAGATCAGCCTTCAATTTTGCTACTACTAACAGTAAAAATATCTATATCACAGTAATATTCATTTACAGCTCTGGCAATTTCCAAAGGGTGAGCCAGATTTAACATCAATGTAGAAAATAATATTATTTCTTCTCCATAGTTTTACTTCAGGTACCGACATAAATGTTTATATGACTAAGTAGATCAGGTACATTCAATTTATCACTGATTATGTCTGAAACAAACAGCATGTCATTGATATCTCTTCAGGACTCTAGTGTTCTTTGCTCAAATTCCAACAGTTGTGTTTCTTTATGAGATTATAAAAGCAGATTCTTTATGTTTCCTGTAGTAAAGGTTTCTCAGGAATTTCCTTTGTACTTTTTCTATCATTTCGGAGTATACAATGGTGTGGGGATTCTATATAACTGAGGCATATTCTAGTTTAGGTCGTACAAAAGCATTGTATAGAAGTATTCCGGTTTTCCAGTTGGACTGATATGAATTTCTAAACACCAAACTCAACTTTATGTAACTGTCCTCCACAATATTCGTGAAATAAGATGTAAAACTATATTATTTTTCTCAAAAACTACCCCCAGATCTCTGAAATCTTGTCAGTAAATGATAAGAGTTTTGCATTCATTTTCATTCAGTAGAAGGTCATTTAACTTGCAGAACATAATATAAATGTTTTATATGTCAGATATTTCAGCACCATAAGTGATTTTAAAGTGAGCTGTGAAAAAATTGAAATGGTTCAAATGGTCATCTTTATGTTGAACATGATTCACACCTACTGATTGCTCTGTGAATTCTAGATGACATTCATATTTCGTTTTGTTCATAACTAAGAAATGAAAAGATCATTTCAAGGATAGCCAGTTTGAACATTTCCATTTTTTTTCACAGCACACTTTAAAATTATATATGGTGTTGAGATTTATCTTACAAATGAAACACTGAAATTTGTCAACATTTTTCATTTCATCTAATTTTGTCCAAAATTCAACATGTCATACATCACTGTATTCAGAAAAGAATCAGTCCGAAAAAAATTTCAACACATTTGGCTCCATTGAAAGAAAAAAGTTGACAGTCACCGACGTTAGTTGCACTTTGAAAAAATAACGATCAGAGCCTATCCATTGTATCTGATGAGTCATTTGAATTGCTTTTTTGTTTTACAAAATCGAAAAATTAATAGCCGCGATATGGCTTTGGACGATTTTTGTCAGCCAGTCTTTATACAAAAAAAACTGGCAAAGTTGTGTAATCTGTTGCAAAATGTTATACTATCAAAGTAATCTATGGTATTATAGATTTCCAGATATACAATATAAAGAAAATTTCCATTTAATTTCCAATTTTCCAAGTACTTATTTGAGCATTGGTTTCCAATAGAAGTCCTTAGATTTTTTCTTAGATTTCTCGACTGCAAAATATAAATGTTCACCATTGGCCAAAATGTTTATCCTTTTTTCTCATGGAAAACCCCGATTCGCACGGCAACAACTTGAATAATTTTAAGTAGTCTGATTGATGGATATGAAAAATAACTAAAACCAAAAAACAAATCTGAACCAATAAAAACAGAGTAAACAGGCTGTTTCATTGGCAGCCTTCAGAAACCCCGCAAGGTGGCGTACGCTTATTTTCACTAGACATAATAAATGTATAGAACTTTTTCATTTGGTTCATTGATTTATTTATAATGAAACAAATGTGCTAAATAGGAATTTTGAGATCATTGCTTAAGTTGGTGAAATAATTGAAATTTTGAAATAATATAAGTTGCAATCACTCTAACAACAGACAGTAGCCTACAAATTATTTTGAATGATTCAATGCATATTTTCAGATGTAGTGTCATCATACATGATTAGACTAATAATTGCAGAAAATAGTTGATTAGCAAATTATCAGGTACCTGTCAGTGAATCAAGCACAAAAATTGGATTGAAATGAAATTTTGTTATGCATGGTCCCAAGCAAATCCCAAGTATTGAAGACACAAACAAGAAAAAGATATTAATTATAGTATTTTTGGAGAATCACAGAGTTTTGAAGTTCTTTGTATACACCTTGCAAGTGATAAACAGTTATTCCTGTAGATACAATTCATGCCTCTACTTAATTATATAGGAAAGTTATTCCTTAATCAGCTGTCACATGCCAATTCAATAAAACTATTTAAGTGTTGCATGCTACACTACTATTGTACATGAGAGAAAAATTAAAACTTGTATTTCATTGATTATAGCACCAGTGAAAATTTGGTTCTTGATAGCTTTCTTGATTGTGAAATAATTATTGGTTCATTCAGACTGGGAGTGTATTTGATTCTACTTTCAAAACTAATGAAACATACTGTCAATAGGTTAATTAAAGAAGTGTAATATTCATTTCCCTAATTTTTTTGCATTTTCTCTCTTCCTTTCCATGAATATATTTTTTCAATAGAGCTATGGGGATGAATCAGAGGATTTGCAGCAAAATGTCACTGCGTTTGAAATGTCACTATTAGAAACCTAAAAGAAAATTCAATCAATCGTCAAGTGACACCTTGTTTGAAAAATAAGATGAGGGTATATCAAAAAATATAAAATTTTTACTCACCTCTGGGCGTTTTGGTAAATATTATAAATATTTGAGAATTGTCTTCGTTTTTGTCTATTGACAGGCAGAAGGCGGAAGCCGATTCGTTAGGTACTGAAATGTCCTGAGATAAGTCTTTGAAACATTTTTGAAAAAGGTCTAACTATAACTACCTATCGATTGAATTTCTCTTTCAGGTTTCTAATAGTGAAATTTCAAACCTTATATTTTAAGGCATGTCATCGGATTCGTCTTTGCTACAAAAATTATACATACTTAGATATTTCTATTAACATAAACGAGGAGAGAAAATCCCAAAAATTTCAATAAATAATGAAACAAAGTCGGTAGGTATTCTGTTGTAGATATAAGTACCTACCTAAAAGAATCTCGGAAGGAAATGCCTACTTTTTACTGGATAATAACATATGGAATTCGAGATTTTTCAAGTCCATATATTTTTTTCGATTATCTGCCAGTAGAATAACTATTAATGGATATTATCATTATTATTATTGAAATCAATCATCACAATTTCGTAACTATTGTGCATTAGAATTAGCATATTTTTGTGTTTCCTATTATTGTCTCTTGTGAAGTTATAGTTTTATTTTTACCATGTGGTTCCCCTGCTTTTTGTATTCATTATATGATTTTAAATTGTATAGAATGTTTTATTACCGTTTATTAAATTATTACTTTTTGAATTCGATATTTAAATCTTATTTACTATTATTAGAATTATTAACATGGTGATTATTTGTGCCAAAGTTTTTTTGTTGAGTTAAAAACGCCTGTAATAATAAATTATTTGAAATAAGTAGAATTCCATTTTTCATATATCCTCACACAGGAGATGTATTCCTATATTGAGTTAATTTTTGTTTTGCCTTTACGTAGGTACCTACTCGTAGATTTTTCGTTCATTCGATTAGATCATACGATATCATCAAAGAATCCAGATATAAAACTTATCCAATCCGCTAGGTAGAAGTAGCTACATAGTACAGGAAGCGGCCAGTCATAGTCAATGCTTCATTCTAAATTTTCGTGCAGAGAGCACATCCTACCTAATTCGATCAAGAGTGAGTGAGAATTAAACTGAAGTGGAAATTGGAGTAAAAGAAAGTGTTGGTGAGATTGATCCCTAATAGCACCCAACGTCCTAGGGACGCCCCGCCTATATTTAGTACAATTCAAGTTCGAATGTCCCGGACCTAAAATAATTTTCCTTGGGACCTCTCCCATCCCGTACATCTCATGCAATGTCCGAGCAGGGACGTCTATGGAATTTCCTAGTTGGTATCAATGCAACAGTCCTA